TGAGCTCCTTCCTGCCCTGAGCTGGGCAATGGGACAGACCCCAGCTGGTGTCAATGGGCCATAGCTCCATTGATTTACACAGCGCTGGATCTGGACCATGGTTTCATAGAATATAGAATATCAGGGTTGGAAGGGACCTCAGGAGGTCATCTAGTCCAACCCCCAAAGGCCCCTAGAGCAGTGGTCTCCAAAGTTTTGGATCGCGCACCCAAGGGTGCCTCCGAAAGAGGAAGGGAAGACCTACCGCAGGAGTGCCGCCGTAGAAAGAAGACAGGAAGACCTGCCGCAGGCATGCAGAGTTGCCGTCAAAGAAAAAAAACGGCAGAGTGTCGTTCGGCGACGCTCCTCCTGCCGCGCACCCCCTGGGATCCTCTGGTGCAGCCCCTGGGGTGCGTGCACCCCACCTTGGAGACCACTGCCCTAGAGACACGCCGACGCCCCCTGAGCAGATCAGACCCCCGGGGCTTTGCTCTCCCAGCCTGTCACACTCACTCCTCCTTCCCTGCAATCTACCACAGAACCAGAGCTCCCGGCTCCCCCATCACCTGCTAACGACCGATCTGCCCTGACATCCCCAGCACAGAGGCGCTTACTTTCCTCTGCAGTGAGCAGCTGTCAGTACAAAGTTTTTCTTCACCAGGAACACTCCACATTCTTTTAACCTGTCCATCTTGTATTTCCAGATAGGCCATGTAGGGTCTGGAATTGGGCTGGGCTTCATGTCCCCCGATGATCTTACCTGCGGGGAGACCAGGTTCATATAAAAACTGCCATCGTCTCCCTGGCTGGGCTGGGACCGAGCTCCCCATCCCAAAGGGGAGTCCCCACAGCCTCAACCCACCCCCTGTGATGCTCTCCCTGGGGGATCTCTGTGCCTCGAACCCTGCCCCCTGCTCAGCTCTCCCCCACACTGGACACCTGATTGGGCCGGAGGGTAAATCTAAAGCTCTGACCTGGCTGGGTGGAAAATCAGTACCAAACGCACTGGGAGTGGGTCAGTAATCGCACTGCCTTGAGTCAACGGTATTGGGGGCCAAAGTCACCCCAGATTAGGCCAGGCAGCCCCCAGAAGGGCCCTGACAGGTCCCTTGTGGATGCTTCTCCTTCTCCATTATCCCACAGTGACTGGCCAGGGCTCCTCCAAGACTGACCCACCAAACATTTGGTCCAATGGAAAACTGTGGTTTTTAATAAAGGCATTTTTTCTCAGAAAGCCTCGTCTCGAACCTGTCTGAATTATTGTGGTGAAACTGATTCTTTCCCCCCAGTTGTGGGTAATATTTAGGTGAAAAATTTCTGGTTTTGGTCACTGTAAAAGTACTACTTTGGGAGGGTTTCCCATGGAAAACTAAAAAACATTTTGTGATCAGCTCTGAAGTCTCCATCCAGGGGGCTGGGTGTGTTGGAAAATCCCACCTTTAACACATGGCTGGTATTTGCATTGGGGTGGCACCTAGACCCAGATCCAGGTGCCCACATTGTATCAGGTGCTGCACAGAAACTAACCGATACCAGGGGTCCCATTCTTCCATGCCTTGCACTGACCCACACACCCTGCCCCAGAGAGTGTTCACTCGGACAAACACGGGCAGAATCGGATCCTGGGCTGAGCTGGGAACTGGTCCCAGATTTTTTGGGTCCCAGCCCAGTGGCCTCACCCCACAACCAGCCTCCATGTGTGGGGCACAGATTGGCAGTGGGGTCCCACAGGAGCCTTTGGGGGCTGGGCCACACAACCCCTCGGGCTGCTCTGATAGCCCCAGCCACACTAAGGAGAGGCTGCAGGGTTCACTATAACCTCCTTGGCCCAGCAGGATCGGGGAGAGACCCTCACAACCGCGCAGAGCTCCCCTTGCCGGGTGAGGGCCCTGCTCCCCACAGGACCCACTGCAACCAACAT